TTAACATTTTCCTAGGAATTTCATTTGAAACAAGTATGTAGTTGTTCTTAAGCTTTTGACTGGTAAGTGGCATTTACAAAAGACGCATTCCTTCCAGCAGACTAAAATGTGCTTCTCTCGTACAAAGTTTCCTGCTTTTCACCACTCAGAGAATTTTAAATCATTCTTCAGCAAAGCCTGTCAAGAATAAGTAACATGAAGTCTTCTTTAATGCCTTCCACTCTATCCAGTTACCGTCTAATACTTCATATTTGTGGTTGGATGCATCCATGATTCTGACCATTTCTTACTGTGGTTGAGGAATTCACTTGTCTAGATTTGTGTACCCTATTTGTCTTTATGTGAAAGTGTGTGGAATATTATCTGTTTTAAAGTGTCTTATGCTGGGCACAGTGGATCACGTCTGTAATCCTAGCACTTTCAGAGGCTAAGGCAGGTGGATCATTTGAGGTCAGGAATTCAAAACCAGCCTGGCCAACATGGTGAAACCTCATCTCTACTAAAAATACAAAAATTAGCTGGGTATGATGGTGGGAGTCTGTAATCCTAGCTACTCAAGAAGCTGAGGCAGGAGAATCACTTGAGCCTGGAAGGCAAAGGTTGAAGTGAGCAGAGATCACATCACTACACTCCAGCCTGGGTGATGGAGCAAGACTCCGTCTCAAAAATAAAAAAAAAAACGGTGTTTTAAAGCTGTTTATTCTACCAGAACACATTTGCTGTAAGTATTAATTTGGCACAACCTTTTAACAGGGCCAGTTCAACATTATGTATCAAAACACTTAAAAATGTTTAAATTTTTTAAACCTGTAATTACACTTCCAGGATTTTAATATGATGTTGTAGATGCATATTTAATGACTGAAAGAAATATATGTTAACTGAAAAAAGCACATTACCAAATAATTTGTATGACATAATTCCCAGTGTTGAGGAAAAAAGAAATGTATATAAGCGCGCGTGCACACGCGCACACACACACACACACACACACACACACACAAGATAGGACGGATATACACTGAAAAATGTCCTCTGGCCTCATTGCTGATTTTATTTCTTTCTTCAAAATTTTTACAGTAACATACCCGGTGTTTGAGATAGTTTTCTAAAAAAACAATGTTTTTAATACCTACAACTCAAAAGTGTAAGTGACTAGATCTTAAAGACCGTGACTAGTGAATGGGCTTTGCACAGTGCCCAGGCAAAAACAACAACAGCGAACCAAGAAACAGTGCGCACTCCAGCACTTGGTGAATTCTGCTTATGATTTGAGAAGTGATAAAAGCAGATTTTGGGATTAAAATAGATTTGAAGCTGAATCTTTTCGCATGACAGAGCTTTCATTCAAGTGGCCCACTGCACTGGGTTTAGTCATTTACCAAATGGAAAAAAAAGATTAAAAAATTAATGTTGGGCTTTCTGTCTGAAGTCTCATTGACAAGAAGAAAATAAAGCTATGGTTCATTTTGTTTATCCTGAAAGTCTTCAACAAGTGATTTTTCAGAGTTCTTAGAGCAGTTGTTTCTCTTCTGTGCTGTCTAGCTCTCCAGATCACACTAAGTTTGTGGGAAGTTTCAAAACCAAACAAGACTTCATAGATTTGGTTGAAGTCATCTATCGAGGAGCAATGAGGGGGAAGCTTATTGTCCAAAGTCCTATTGATCCCAAGAATATTCCCAAATATGACCTTCTCTATCAAGACATTTAGCACAGTAACTGCTGTCAGAGATGAAGAAAAAGGCCCATCTTGACATGATACCTGAATCCAGCCATGCTGTTTTTCTGGAGTCCTTTGGAAAAATGCCCAGTGTCCCAGAGGAGAAGAGGTTTGACTTGCCTATAGAAAACTCGGCCCCTGAGCAAAGACCCCGCTGGTTCTCTGATGACCTGGAATGCCTGTCTACACCCTGCGAGCCTCAGAGCAGCCAAGTCAGTGGTGTTCATTTTCTCCCACGGTGACTTTTTCACTTCTCTTTATAATGTTTTTCTTTATCCCTTTAATACAGAATCCTTCCAGACATTGGCTAGTACAATTTGATTGAACCATCTTCATTTGATACACAGTGAACTGGAAAGTCAATTTCCATGGAAGCAAAAATACTTATTTTCTACCCTAGATAGGTGCATGCGTGTACACTACACACACGCGCACGTGTGCGCTCACACACGCTCACACAGACACACACCCCTTCACCCGTTCCTCCGCTCGTACGACACTCATGCTTTCCCATCTCCAGTTCCTATTACCGTAGTTTCTCTTCAGATAATTAACGGAGCAGACAATTTTGTTTTATTTTGGAGCCTTTTTGGCTCTGGCTTTTAAATATTGTCCTGGTTGGCTCCTTTAATTATGTTTTTGTTATAAAATTGAATATGAAAACAGAATTGGAACCTTGACCCTCCACCACTCTGCTGAGGTAAAACTATGAATTAGCCACCCTTAGCAGGAGCAGATTTTACCCAAAAACTGCTGCCTCTTCCTGAGGCAGAAAATTTTATTACTAGGGCTCTAAACTAAAAGAGATGTCAGAAGTGTTAGAATGAAATGTCACCTGTATGGTATTTGCCTGTTTAAATAACTTTGTGGAGAATTCTTGCTCTTCCAGGGGCACCTGGCACAACCATGGGCAAGTTACCACTCCTCTCAAAACCTCATGGTGCTTATTGAAACTGACTCATTAGAAGGAGTGGGTGGGCGCAGAGCTGGAGGGCCGCAGGTGAGGCAGCTTGTGATCTGCTTAGCAGCTGCTGACCTTCTCACCAACAGAAGCCCAGTCCCGTTCAGGGAAGCACTGTCACTGCAAGTCCAGCCACGTTTACCAGGGGCTCCATTCCACGCCTTTCTGCAGGGAGGAGTGCCATGAGCTTGTTTCTAGCTCCTGAGGCAGAGGGGGAAGGCTGCTGGGCACTGCTTGTGACCCTGCTGATGAAAGGAGGGAGTCCCTCCAGGAATAAGACACAACAAAAAGAGAGAAGGAGCCCACCACCTCTGTCCTCTCCCATCCTACACTTCCTGCCACTGGTTTAATCCTGATGCATGGAGCTGCAACAGCCATCCTAGGCCCACAAGGTGCCCAGCGTCAGGTAAACATCGATATGCTAAGAACAAAAAGAGCCCCGATCCCTTATATTATTGAGCTACTGCGTGAACTCTGGATCTGCCTCCCTCCAGACTTCTGTGAAAGAATAAAATTTCTTTTTGCCTAAGCCACTATTAGTCGGGTTTTCTGTTCTTCAGCCCAGATCACACAGTATTTGAGGTACAGTAAGTGCTCAGCCTGCCAGCCAAAACTCAGAACCGGCATGCGCAAAATTCGGGGGTCTTCTCCCGAGGGCTTTCAGTCATCTTTCTCTCAAGTCCTGCTTTGTATTTTTGATCCTATCTTAGTTGCTTTCCATTCCACAAGTAATAAGTGCCTGTTGTATGCCCCATCCTATGCTGAAAGCTACGTTAAGTACAGATGGCTCCTGGAGGGCAGAAAAGGTCCTGAGAGGAGACAGTGCCCGCATCTATCTGGAAGGAGAGTAGGAGGTGCTTATACAGGAAGGGGAAGGGAATTTCAGCAGAGGGCCCCCGAGGAAATAAAGCCCGGGGGCTGGAGATGGCCTGGCCTCAGAGAGCAACAAGGAGCTTGGTGTGGCTGAAGCCCATAGGCTGAGGACACGAGGTAGTGCTGGGGAGGGAGGCAGAGAAGAACACCCGAGCTTTTCTTTTACTGTTGTTCTACCAGAAGCCACTTAATACAATCAGACAGTTCTTTAGCAAGGGAGTGCTTCTTGTTACAGGGGACTTGGTGCTGAAGAAAACTACCAGAGGAAAAGGTGTCAGTTACCGTATTCTGAGAGGCATTGTTTTCTAAGAGTTTGACTGTTATTTTCCAGTTTCTGGCTATTATCTCTCACAGGTTCTAGAATATAGGTGTGTGTCATGTTGGCCTACTAGTGCTAACCTGTTGAAGTTTACTGATGAATCTGCAGGGTGCCTGTGAGGAGAGCTTTACAGAGATGGCCAGACCCTGCTGAGAGAGAGTGACATCAGTGTCATTTTATACCCTGAAAAGAAGGGCCCATATTTTGGCATGAAAAGAAGGTGCATTGGTGATTGGTCAGGTTGTTGAAAGCTTGTAGCAAGAGAAAGTTCTCTTAGAACAGTTTCTGTTTATCAGAGTTCAGAACCTTTTTTCTGGGAGACCCTTCATAGCATGACCTGCTATCGGGAGAGGAGGCTCAGACAGCTTGCATTTGATTCCTGGTGAAGGATGGGTTTGTTCCAAGTAGGAAAAGCAGCTTTTACTGAGGCAGGGACTCTACCTCCCCACTCTTTACCGAGTCCCCAAAGGTTATTGCTGATAGGGACAATAGCCATCGCCTGGCTCAAGTCCTTCATGGAAGAGACCAGGAACTCATGGCCTGGAAGCCTAAATTACTTAGCAAATTTGTGGGCCAAGCTGTGATTTGGACCAGCAAGTCCAGAAATCCTGCCTTTCCGTTCATCATCTTTTGTTTTCTGGAGTGCTGGTAGATTAGATCACAAACTCTGAAGTACTGTCTGTGTCAAAGCTCTTTCCCGTCCTATTTCCCATCCTATTTTGAGCTAGCCTCTTCCTCACCAGGCCCACGCCCTTTCTCCTTATTACCTTTGAAGAGGCAGCAGGATGCAGTGAAAAGAGCTCTGAGTTTGTAGCAAACAGACATGGGTTCAAAGTTCAGCTTCACTGTTTCATAGCTATGTAACCTTGAGCAAATCACTTACCTTCTCTGAGTCTTTGTTTCCTTGTCTGTAAAACAAGGACAACAATTGTCTTTCTGGGACTTGGCATCCAACAAGCACTGAATCAGTGAGCATGATTCCCTAAGATGGAACAGTTTGTATCACCTTAGGGATTCGCAGTGGGTTTGGGGTATTTTCTGCCATACTCCCTGTAGACTCTATACCTTTTTGCTACCCTGGACCATCAAAGAATAAAAAATTCTCAAGACTGAACACAACACAGAAATGAGTCAAAAGAAAGCTCTTTATTGACTGACTCAGCAGCGCAGAGCTGGCACCCATCAGCTTCAAACCACGTCTTATCCCGTCCACTCCCATCCACTTTGCCCTCCTCCAGGCTGAAATCATGCTTTCAGGCAAAGGCATCCAGCCAGGCTTGCGTTAGTTCTCAGCTATGGTTTTCTGAACCCAGTCCTGGATGGAAGTCGCCTTTACATACACACCGTACTCAGCCACGCCACAGCTCTTATCAAAGCTTAGGATCCCAGCCGCGTACCATGTGTCCTCCTCCAGGTCGTGAACAACAAAGGCACTGCCTGCATCACCATAGCAGGTGTCTTCCTGGTACTTGGACATGCCAGCACAGAAGGTGTGTTCGTTCAGTATGGGCTGCACCCCGACGGGGCTCTTTGGTGTCTTCTTTTCGGGGACTGTGCTGCCTTCATAGTGCTTTATGCATTGGTCTTGGTCAGCCACAGGCAGCATGACATACTTCAGATGATCAGTAAATTTGAAGTTGGCATTTCGCCCCCAGCCAGACACGTAACCCACACGCCCTACTTCTGCATAATCCTTTGAAGGTAGGCAGATGGGCATCACCCTCTCATTAACAGGCACCTTCTGTTTGAGTTTGATGAGCCCAATGTCTACCTGGGAGTAGTTAGGGTGTAGAACCACCTTCTCAATCTCTACAAGCTGATTTTTCCCCACGTAGAGTGTTAAAGTGGGCGCAATGTCTTTTGCTGTTGCATTTTCTGAATGGTTCAGGAAGAGATTTTTAGCTGTGGTCAGCAGCCATTGCTCACTGATCAGCGTGGCCCCTGTGGTGAGATTATGGCGGGAGACCATCTTAGCCTGCCAGGGAAAGCTGCCTTTGGCATCCAGGTGTCCACCCAGGATCCGCTGCACCGGGTTTGCTGGATTCTTGGGCTTCCCACATACTGTCAAGAAGAGCAAGACACTCTTGAGTGGAACGTGCAAGAGCCTCCCCATATGAGAAAGACGGGTGAAACCATTGGTGGCTGTCACTGCTGCGTAAACTAGAAAGTTTAAATGCTTTGCCCTTACCACCTGCTCATCTCATTTCCAATAGTTGTAGTTTTAAAATAATTCTGTTGTTTTTTTTTTAATTGTTTGCATTACACAAAGCTCTATTTCCAGCCTTTCTAAGAAAGGAAATGAGAAATACAGAGATTTTTGAGCCCTGGTTGATGAACTGTATTATATTTAAACAATTATCCCAACAAAGGAATTTCTCCCATTCCCTGAAGTTCATTGAAAGGGCTAGGAGCTACAATAATTCGTTCTCTCTGAAGAAAGAGGAATCCAGAGCAGCGCTGCCTGGAGTTCAGATTTTGTAGATGGAGCAGTTCTGCACCACTAAGAGCAGGAGAGGCTGGGCCGATGCCTCCAGTTCTGAGAGGGAAAGGAGAGAGCAACAGCTCTTCCTAATAACCAGAAGCAGGAGTCCCAGCCCACGTCCAGCCTCCTGCTAGGCTTCCAGGGATTAAGATTTAATGTCATCCCTTGACTTGTTCTCTCTGGAGCTTGCTTCTCCTTAGACCCAGGGCTCTCTGGCAGGCTCTCTGTATGCACAGGCTCTCCTGATCTGTGGGCAATGTAGATAGTGGATTCAGCCAATGCCCTTCAGGCCCTGATGAACAAGACCCTTAGACCCTTGGTGATCCTTAGGGAGTCATCACCTAACTGCCTGAGTCTCTCTCCCTGGCCAGTTACGGTTCTCCCACATCCCTCCTCTGGGCTCTTGTGTACTCAAGGGAAGCCGCATCAGAAACCTGTGCCTCTAGGACATGCCCGCCTGGGCTCTTAAGTGCTCAGCACCCACCTGCTTCACATTCAGGAAGTTTATCTCCAACAGCCTTATTTGTCCACTGCTTCTCACTGTTTAAGGTGTACACCCCTGAAACAAAAGGCAAGAAATGAGCCAAAAGAGAAGTCAAGCCTGGACCCAGTGCAGAGTGAGAAGGCATTTAAGCAGAAGAATTAAAAAGAAGAGTTGGGGAGGGGAGGAGTTAGAAAGGGGAAAAGGAGGGAGAATATGAGGAGGAGGAAGGGAGGGAGTGCTGTGCTGGAAGCCAAGTGCCTCGACGCCAGTTATGCCCAGAAGAACAGACTGTGGTCATTGTGGACACAGCCGGGCAGTACAGGGAGGGCTCAGGGTTCATATCCTGACTCTGCCTCTTACAGACTGCCTGAATTTGGGCAAGACACTCAACCTGTCTGTGCCTCAGTTTCCTTATTGGCAAAGTTGGGATAATCTCCATTCAGAGGGATATTATGAGGACTAAGTGAGCAAATAAGTGTAAAGCACTTAGAGCATTGCCAGGAATGCAAGACTCACTAGGTGAGGGTGACTTGTCACCATCAGTGTTCCTTCTTTTCCCACCTCTCCTGCTGGAGATGTGAATCTGACTCTGAGATAGGTAGGCTGCATGGCATTGCCTTCCCTTAACAAAAGAGAAAACTTGAGGCTGACAGAGGTTAGTCTGCCCAAAGGGCCACAGCTGCTGGCGACAAAATGCTTCTTAGAATCTAAATCTCCTGGCTCCAAGGAGAGTACATCAACTCTCTGGCCACTCACCCCAGCACCACCCCTCATGGAAATGTCGGAGCAGGGGTTGTGTATAGGGTACTGAGGCAGTTGTCCAGGTCTTACCATCTCCCTCTGTGCGCAGTCTATAGTATTTCTTACAGTGGTAGTGAACCAAGTGCTCCACATAGCCATTTGCAATCTCAGGGGGCTTTGGGCAGCCGTCATCTGCAAAGAAAGACAAGCTAGGGAGTTTACTCTTTGGAAATTATTCCCAGAGACCCGTGAAAAGTCAGATGAGAGGACGCTGCTCTGCACATCAGTCTCCTTCTACCCCAAATAGAAGCCAGTGGAAGGGCAAGCTCCCTTATTTCTGGCAGGATCCCCAATGTTCTTCAAGGTCCTGAAAGCCCAGAGGTTGAGATAAGAAGGGGGAACTGGGTGTTCTCGGAAAGCAAGAGTGCAGACCCAAGAGGGTCAGAGTGGGATGCCGCACCAGGGATGACGCTCCTACCCAGCTCAAAGACTGACCTGCAATATCCGTGACATCGTTGCCTGAATCCACTGCGAAAAGCTGTCCCCACAGCAGGAGGGCAATGACAGCTCCCAGGGCACTGCAGAGAGAAGACAAGAAGGAGTGGAAAGCTGGTCTCCCTGCTTCACAGCACCTGTGTGCATCCACACACACACACACGCACACATGCATGCACACACATTCCTCCCACTAAGCAGCCAGAAAAGAAAATCGATATATGGAAGTGCTAGGACCAAGAAGTTGCCCTCCCCTGCACATACACAATGTAGCAGCTTCTGAGCTACTAAGCTTCCAGCAAGCTTAGAAGTCCTGCTGGAAGTTCTGCATAGAGAAATAGGAAGAAGCGTAGGTTGGGGTGGGGTGGCCCAGTTTCTGGCCACATTCAGGGAAGTACATTTGCAGTAATACAGGAGCCCTCCAGGAAAGAGAAATCTCCCTCAGCACCTGAAAGATACTGCTAATAAAATGTAGATAACTCAAAAGACGGGAACACAGGGCTTATTATGCCATTCCCTATACTTCCTGAAATTTTCCGTAATAAAAGGCTCCTTAAATATATAATTTAAAATACTTATGTGGTTATTTCTAGTATTTTATGACAATTCACCTTTAGGAAATGTATCTCGAGCCCCAAAATGTCAGCAGGTCACCTGGAAGAGTACTGGTATCTGAAAGCAGGACTCTGGCCATGAGCATTGACGCACAGGCGCCACCTGCCAGTTCACCGTCCACTAACAGACACTGGCCATTCAGGCACTACTTGCTACTATTAAAATAGTTTCTAGGCCAGGCGCGGTGGCTCACGCCTGTAATCCCAGCACTTTGGGAGGCCGAATCGGGTAGATTACAAGGTCCAGAGACCAAAACTATCCTGGTCAACATGGTGAAACCCCGTTTCTACTAAAAACACAAAAATTATCTGGGCATGGTGGCACACACCTGTAGTCCTGGCTACTTGGGAGGCTGAGACAGGAGAATCACTTGAACCCAGGAGGCAGAGGTTGCAGTGACTGAGATCACACCACTGCACTGCAGCCTGGCCACAAAGTGAGACTTTGTCTCAAAACAAAAAGTTTCTAATGTTTTTATTTCAACATTGTCTTTTTGTTTTTATAAGATCTGAGTGCCTTAATGAGATGTATCCCAGGTACTCATGTGTATCCCAGGTACTAGTCAGTTAATTGTGTCATTCAAATATGTTGCTATTAGTCTTCTTATACATTTTTAAAGAGGAAAATATCTGCTAGTAAATATATTCAAAATGCCAGGAAGCCTACTACGGGGGCTGATGACATCTCTTACAAAGACAAAAATGCAACCTCAAGGAAAAAGACACTCCTGAGAGTAAATCACATCTCCTGGGAAAGACAGCACTGTCTATGGATACAGAAAAGGAGAAGATTGAACCCACGAAGCCCTTTAGTTCACTATAATTTGGCCCATTTGCCCTGCTTTTTATTCTATTTCTGCATCTCCACCAATGTATGCAAAGAATGAAATGAAGAACCAGAGGAAAGGCAGGAGAGAAAGCTGTGACCCACCTCATCTTGGTTGATCTTGCCTCTGGAAGAGCAGTGCTGTGGGGCATCTGCTGGTCTTTTTATGCCGCCACTAGCTCACCTCTCCCCCTCTCTTTCGTAATTCTTGTGTCTACATGACATTGGCCTTGGTAAGGTCATTCTCTATTCCAGTAACCACAAACAATACCCATGTGAAGAGTTGAGCTCTTGCTTCACCCTTGATTTTCCTGTGGTGTTCTCTTACAAACCCCAGAGAAACCTGGCAACTTCATGACCCACGAACCTGCCAAAGTATTTCCCGAAATCAGCGACTGGGCAGGACAGGGCATGGCAGGAACCGTCAATCTGTCTCTATCTGGGAGGATTTTCACACTGCAGAAGGCCTCACTTGGAGTTGTTTCAAACCCATTGTAGACGAGTCTGCAGGCTAGCTTAGATGGGGCTCTAAAGAAAGCACTTCCTTGTCACAGTAATTTTCTTCACCTTGTGTGTGGACATCTCCATGTTGCTTAAAAGCTCTTCAGCCTGAAATCAGTAAATGTGTTTATTGTGTCTTCTCTGATTGCTCTTTGCAAGAAATCACACAGCCAATAAAAGCTATAGTGTAGACTGATACAGACCATGCTCAATGGCAGTAGTTCTCATGTTTTTATAGTCTGGTGATTAGCCTAAATAGGCAGATGAGAAAAAGCCATATGTCTCAGCCAAATGTCTTCACCTGTGTGCATCCCAGGTACTAGTCAATTGAAATTTAGTAGCAACTCAATACAAGATTGATTTATTAATTAAAAAGGGTTAGGCCGGGCGCAGTGGCTCACACCTGTAATCCTAGCACTTTGGAAGGCCGAGGTGGGTGGATCACGAGGTCGAGAGATCGAGACCATGCTGGCTAACATGTGAAACCCCATCTCTACTAAAAATACAAAAAATTAGCTGGGTGTGGTGGCATGCACCTCTAATCCCAGCTACTCAGGAGGCTGTGAGAGGAGAATCACTTGAACCCAGGAGGCAGAGGTTGCAGCGAGCCAAGATCATGTCACTGCATGCCAGGCTGGGCGACAGAGTGAGACTCTGTCTCAAAAAAATAATAAATTTTTTAAAAGGGGTTAGTGGTTCTTAGAGTGTACAAAAGAATTACTTTCGGATAATCATGGTGACACTGATATAATAGGAAAGTAGCTAGAGATGAGACAAATGCCCATAAACAGGAGGATGGGTCAACCATGCGTGGTATGTTGATATGATGGAATATTACACAGCATGAAAATGAATAAACTCTGCAAGAACATGGATAGTCTTACAAACGTAATTTTTGAAAGAAAACGGCAAGTTTCAGAAGATTACCTTCAGTATGATAGTAGTCTTCTAGAGATCAAAATGAAGTAAAACTTGGCCATGGATTTTTAGATATGACCCCAGAATCACCAGGAATCAAATCAAAATTAGATATATTGAGCATTATCAGAATGAATGTTTGTGCATCAAAGGCAGTATTAAAAAAGTAAAGACAATTACAGAACGGGAGAAAATCTTTGCAAATTATGTATCTGATAAAGGGTTAATATGAGAGCATATCAAGGACTCCTACAACAACAAAAGGACAGACAACCCAATTGAAGCATGAGCAGAGGATCTGAATAGACATTTTCTCCAGAAAATATGCATAAAATGCCAAAAAGCACATAAAAAGATACTCAAGGCCTGACAGTGGTTCACACCTGTAATTCCAGCACTTTGGGTCCAGGAGTTCGAGACCAGCCTAATAAAAATACAAAAATTAGCTGGGCATGGTGGCATGCACCTGTGGTATCAGCTACTACTCAGGAGGCTGAGACAGGACAATTGCTTGAACCTGGGAGGCGGAGGTTGCCGTGAGCTGAGATCACATCACTGCACTCCAGCCTGGGTAGCAGAGCCAGACTCTGTCTAAAAAAAAAAAAAAAAAAAAGACACTGAACACTAATTGGAAAATGTCAATAGGGAAATGCAAATCAAAACCACAGTGAAACAGCACACCTACTAGGATGGCCACAAGTAGTGAGAGTGTGTGTGTGTGTGTGTAACAAATGTTGGCAAGAATGTGGAAAAGTTAGAACCCTGGTACATTACTTTGCTAGTAAGAATGTAAAATGGTGCAGCTGCTATAGAAAACAGTTTTATGGCTCCTCAAAAAGCTGAGCATTGAATTGCCATGTGACCCAGCAATTCCACTTCAAGGTATACACCCAAAAGAATTAAAATCAGAGACTCAGAGACATGTACACCAATGTTCATAGCAGCATTTTCACAATGACCAACAGGTGGAAGCAATCCAAGCTTCCATCCACAGATGAATGGACAAATGCAAACAATGGAATACTATTCACTATAAAAAGGAATAAAATTGATACATGCTACAATGTGAATAAACCTTGAAAACATACTAAGTGAAAGAACCCAGACACAAAAGGGACAAAATATTATATGATTCCACTTATAATAAAGTATCTAGAATAGGCAAATACATAGAAACAAAAAGTAGATTGGACTTTACCAGGGGCTGCGAGAAGCAAGAAATGGGAAGTGCTTGCTTAATAGGTACAGAGTTCCTGTTTGGGGCGATGATAAAATTTTGGAAACTCGCAGTGGTAATGGTTGCACAACACTGCTGATGTAATAAATGCTGCCGAATTGTATACTTCAGAATGATTACAATCAGAAATTTTATGTTATCAATATTTTAGCACAATAAAAAATTCAAGAAGTAAGTAAATAAACTTCTTTTTATTGCGGCAAAAAAAAAAAAAAAAAAAAAGAGGAAAGAAACAAGCAAGACTCAGCAGTATGTTGCTCAGGCATAGATACCAAAGAGACAAAACTATATTTTTAAGTCTTTTAATGGAATGGAAATCCCAAAATGTGAAATGTTACATCCCGTGGGGAGGTAGGAGGAAGGCATAAGAGAAGGACACTTAGGAAAATAAAAATAAGTTGTTAATGACCCAGGTTTTGGGCTGGGTAGTAAGTTCATTAATGTACATTATATTATTGTGTTTTATTTAAATATATATATATATATATATATATATATATATGTCCATATATATATGTCACATATAATGTTTTATAAGTATCAAATATTTAAAAATATGAAGGAGGAGGGAATCACCCAGAGGACATAGTGGCCCCTTTTCCATGAATTTGATCCAATAGGTCTGCTTGGGGATGTGAGAATCTACATTTCAAATGTCCATAACTTCCCCTCACCCCTGCAGGTACAAGACAGTAGACTGCAGCTCTTCACTCATAAGCAGTAGCCGATTTCTCTACCCCTGGAATCTGGGTTTGGCTCTGTGGCTATGTTGAAATAGTAGCAAATATAAAAAGGATAGCCTTGAAATGTGCTTGTGAATTGGGGTTTGCCTGTTTTTCCAGCACCTGGAATCTGGGGGCTGCCCTATGAATGAGCCCAAGTTATTCCTCCATTGCTGGAGAATGAAAGATCCCCATAGAGTAGAACCCAGAAATCCCAGCTGACAGGCAGCCCCGAATTCCCAGAAGCCCTCCACAGAGGCATGAGCAAGCCCCTGCCAACATCAGCTGAAACCGGTCCTGACCAAAACCACCTCCAGCTAAGCCCAGCCTGCATTGCTGACTCACAGAATCATAAACTTAATAAAAGATGGATGTTCTAAGCCACTAAGCTTGGGAAAGACTCGTTAGGTAGCAAATGTTAAACAGTAGAACTGGCATATGGAACGATGGAAATGGAGCTGCTCTGGCTGAATCCGAGGTGAAGGCGTTAGAATTCTGCTCCCCAGGTCCCTGGGTTCCTGCCATGCTCTGTCACAGCTTGTCTTTATCTGTGCTTTGCCACCCAGTTTCCTTCAGTGGCCAGAAGGAGGGAGCTACACCCTACATTTTCCAAAGAGAACATATGCTGTAGACTGTGAAGGATTCCACTACACCTGGAACCCTTCCCTCCTTTTGACATCCTCATGCCCTCCTTCCCCGCCACCTCATCCAGTCCGTCACCCCTCCCCACAGAAACTGTCAAGCCTTAGCCTCTCATAGTCCTCTGTCTAGAGTCTTGGAAATGTCACAGCCCCAGGCTTCTTGTTTATTCTCTGTCCAGTTGCTGCTACTTTTCCAGAGGAAAAAGATGGCTTCTATTTCTGCAGCTCTGTGGATCCTCAGGGAAGCAGGGATAGCACTGGTCCTGTGAAAGGGAGGGAGAGACTTCCTCCTCAGACTGCAGCTGGTGCCCTCCTAGGGTGTCTAAAGTGAAACATTCCTCACCACTGCTGTAGAACAATTGTTTATTCACCAGGTGCATGAAAATTCATTCTTCCTCTGAACATACCCTTAACTCTATTACTCTGACCCCTTGTCTTGGTCAAAAGGGGAGCATTCACACACAGCCTTCCTGCCCTGGGCGTCTTTCATTAACTTGAGTAGAAACAGGATCCAGCCCAAAAGGCTTCTCTCTTTCAATGGAAAAGTCAAGGTGTGAGACAGCAAGTCAGAAGACTCCGCCAAGGGAAATAGGAATATATTTTGTTGGGAGAATAGAAAGCAGGAAAGCCTAAAACATTAACAGGCAGGACAGCAGTTGACAGAGGAACTTGAAGGGGAGAGTTTTGATTTTAGAAGCAAAAAATGATTTTTAAAATTCACTCTGCCAGTCAGGCATAGTGGCTCACACCTGTAATCCCAGTGCTTTGGGAGGCCAAGGCAGGCCAATTGCTTGAGCCCAGGAGTTGGAGACCATATGGAATAAAATGGGCAACACGATGAAAATTCAGTCTCTACAGAAAAATACAAGAAGTTATCCAAACATAGTGGCACATGCCTGTAGTCCTAGCTACTCTGGAGGCTGAGGTGGGAGGATCGCTTGCAGCTGAGAGTTGAGGCTGTAGGGAGCTAAGACCATGCCACTGCACTTCAGCCTGGGTGACAGAGTGAGACCCTGTCTCACAAAAACAAAAAGCTCACTCGGCCATTCCAAAAGTCTTGAAATTTTGTAAGCTACCAACAAATAAAAATAAGAAACAAGTCCTCCGATAATTTCACCCCCTCAAGACAACCAGTAACCACTATTAACACTTTAGTGTTACTTCCTTCCGTCTCTCTGTACATACTTTTACACAGTTTTGATCACTCTTTGTATAGAATTTTTTGGTCTACT